CCAGGAGGAAAGCTTAGAGAACTTTTCAGGGTTTTTTCTGCAAATCTTTATTGCTCTCATCAGATCTCAATAAAATAGGAAAAGAACAACGACCATTAGCTGCTCTTTACAAGCTCAGAAATAGACACAGAGAAAGATTTTGATTTTGAAAATATTACTGAGTCAGGCTGTAGCAGGGTCACATATGGAGTCCCTGTTCCCTTTCATCCCTGGCTCTCCTGTGCTACAGATGGCTAGCCGAGCCTGGACATGCCAATTCTTGTTATTTTCCATTATTATTTTCTTGTGCTCATCTCTGAAATAGAGATAGGCTTAACAGTGAAAAACATCTTTCCTTCAGACGTTCCTTATTTTCCGTTCTTTCTTCTCCTAGGTAACTTTCTCTTCCTTTTGTTCTCCACTCTCCTTTTCCCCCTATTCTCACATTTTTCCTTTCCTTTTCTCCTCTTTGCCTTCTCTTTTCACTTAAGATCGTATCTCACCACCCTCCTTCCTGAGATGGGAAGAGGTGGGGCTCCCTCTAGGTGAGACCAGCTCAAACTCACGTGGTTATCAACCCCACAGAAGTTTCCGGGCCCGAGCTTCCACATGTGGGCACTAGGGGGTGTGTGTGCAATATCTGTGGGGTTTTTTAGCTGCTGGAAGACAGAGGCAGAGTGACTGTTCTCTGGTGAAAAAAACAGATAGCTGACAATAGGAATGGAACTTTCCATCTGGCAAATAGCAAGAGGGGGGTATTCACCTGTGAGACACATGGATACAGAGACAGAAGACAGGTGTCTTCAGGTATGTCAGTGGCTGGCCTGGAGGGCCTGAATCCATTCACCGCGTGCCCGTGTCCAGTTCTCCATTCACGACTTTTGGGTCACTTATACTTTTGGAGCAACAGAAACCAGAGGCTTGTGAGCTACCTGATCCCTGAGTTTCCTTCCAGCTATATTTTTATATATTGAAGGCCCAAAGCTGAGTAAAAAATAGGATAGTGCCCCTGACACACCACCTAGTCCTTGGCAAAGGCATTCCAGATCTACGCTGGACTTTAAGCTTTGCGAAGGCTCCCAACTTTGAAGCTCTCTTCTCTCTCCTCCTCCACTCTTGGTAAGCCTTTTCAGCCCCAGTCCCGAGGTTTGAAAAGGTATTTCCTGCTGTAACTGCCTGGAGTCAGAGATGAGAGTGAATATTCTTGGTGTCTTCCTCCCTGACTCATAAATGACTGATTTCTAGGTAAGGATATGCCATCTTTTGGTGCCTGTCTCCCATGACAAACTCACTGGCCTCAGGTGGCTGGGTAGTACTGCTGTAAGGGGACTGCATTTCAGGAGAGATGGCCCCGGGCCCAGATGAATGTTGAGTGCTAGCTCTGAATTGATTCACCAGACCAGGCACCAGGGCTGTGGAGGTGAACAGGTGCTGAGGACAGTGTGGAGGCAAAGGTCATCCACAGATGACCAGGACCTGATGCACTGAGTGTGAACAGAAGCACAAACAACCTTGGTGGAGTGGACACAAGGGAGAGTCAAAGGCTTTAAAATGCACTAGCGCTTGTGATTCAGTTTAAGCCTCACAATGATGCTGAGCCTGGTACCTGCCTCTCCCTGTGCTCAGAGAGGTCCAGTGACTGACTCAAGATCACAGAGGTCGTAAGCAGGAGAGCTGCAGGCCAAATCAAGGTCCTGCAGGATCTTGGGGTAACTGGCACAGGGCTCACCTTCCTTAAACAAAACCAATGGGAAACTTGTGGTGTGAACTGCAATTCTGTGCAAATATGAAAACTACCTCATAGACACACTACCTACATTTTGTATCTCCGGCCAACACGGAGTTGCTGTGGCACTGACTGCCCACTGCAGTTAGTGTTGTAAAGGCCAGAGAGGGAAGTGTCTTTCTTCCTCTCCCTGGGATGAGAGAAATCAGTGGGAACTCTGATAGACAGTGCCATGAGGATGGTGGGCTAGGGCAGGGACTTGCAGTGGTTCCTGGGTGAGGTTGGTTTGGAATGTGCCCTTTCGTCTTTGGGGCTGAGAGGCCAGTGGCAGATGTGGATGTGAGGGGAAAGAACAGCCAGAGTACTGCAGCTCAAGGTCTTCAGTCCAGACCGCTCACAAACTATGCAGGTGCCCCTGGCCTTAAGGGACTTTGGAAAAATCTGTTTTGTCCATGGCTATGTCCCCTGAACCCAGAGCAGTCTCTGTAATATGCACTCAGTGAGCACTAATGTATTCTGGAGAGATCTCTGCCCGGGAGACCTGATTCTGATCACTTTCTGCAGTTGCTTACAGGAAAATCACCACCTTTCCCAAGCCTGATTTTCTTATTTTTGATAGGAGCAGAGGGTTAGCACCTCCAGGATGGTGATCTCGTGAAGACCAGCAGAGTGAGCAGCAGTAAGATGTGGAGGAGCCCCACAGCCAAGGGCTCCACCAGGTTGGTGGGTGGGGACAATTTCCTGAGCATCTCACAGAGACATTCATCTCCCTCCTCCCTGGAGGACTGCACATGGGCACTCACAGTGCTCAGCACCTGCCTTCTTGGAAGGTTCTGGAAGAAGGCGGGTCCAGAGCAGAAGATTCAGTGCCTTTGCTGTCAGTTTCCCAGCGTACAGCCCTCCTCCCCAGCTGCTGGCTGGGCGTCTCTGCCAACCGCTCAGATGGGGGGAGGGATGGAGAACAAGTTACGAGTGTCCCAGATTGCTACCCAGGGAAGGCAGAACCAGGAAGGGAGAGAAGGAGGCTGACTCTAAGTCCGGTGGTCCCAGATTCTCCAGGGACACCTGGGAGACTTCACACAAAATATTCACCACTCTGAGCCTGTTTCCCAGACTGTACATAGTGATAAACAGAATCGTCCCTGCAGGTTGTTGAGAGAACAGTAGTGAATGCAAAGCTGTGAACATAAAGCCTGACAGTAGATGCTTAATAAAGACAGTGATTCTTCAAGGTATGGACTGTCACTGGAGCAGAAGGTAGGAACGGAAGGTGCAGAGGGAGATGCGCCCTTCAGAGGGAGAGTCCAAGACCAGGTTTAGAGAGAACAGCAGAGGTTAGGGGCCATTCTCCTCCTCTGGGCTCATCTCACACACTCCCTGCTCCCCCCCCCTCCCCCGCCTTTATAAGCCGAGGCCAGGGAATGCACTTGCACTCAGTTGTAAAAGGAGAAGACATTTCTTCACAAATCCTTCTAACTGCCCTCCAGAACTGCTGGTGTAACCCTGATTTTGGAGATGTGGACTTGAAACTCAGGCTTGATTAATTGAGGTGACACAGTGAGTCAGGAGGGAACAGGGAATGCAGCCATCCATGCTCCTGTCCTACCTGCCTGCCTATGGGACTTGGGTGAGATAAGAGAGGTGTGTTGGTGACACATCCACTCTGTTTGCTGGGGTGATACACCATGTCCGGTAGTGAGGATTCTACAGGTTGGTTTTTGTCAAATGTCCTTGGGAGCTACAGCTCAGGGGAAGTGAGGTCCAGAGAACAGCCATGCAAGGGGAAAGAAAAAAAACATAAAATGAAGAACAGCCAAGCATTATTATTATATGCCGGACATTGTTTTGGCCATTTTGACATGACTTAACATACTCATCATAACTCATCTCCACTTGACACATGAGTAAACACAGGCACAGAGAGGTGAAGACACTTGCCAAGGACCCCAGCTAGTGAGCAGCAGCAGAAGCTATGTATTTAAGTGTTTCATTTCATTGCTTCTTACAAGTTCAGACCAAAGAGAGACATGAGCAAGATTCTTACTGGAGACTCTGAAATGGCACCTCATTTAAGCATCAGGTCAGTCTAGGGTGGAGCTGGGATAGGGTGTTGAGAGTAAGGCCAGTGGGTACTGGGGGCTAGGTCTTAGAACACCCTGGTATTTCTGCTTTCACCACCTTTGGCTGTAGAGCCGCTGGGGGCTATGACATTGACTTATCCCTTTAGTGAACATTTCTGGTGACCCCCACACTTGCCCCATGCACAGGCTACGTGGACCTCCTCCCTAAAACAAAACTCAACCTCTGCCCCTGTAATGCTCATGGTTTAATGAAAGCAGAATTGTAGCAGTGAATGATCTTGGGGCACGGCGGGGGGCATAGAGGAGCGACCACCTTTGGTCCAGGAAGGCTGTCTAGGGGTGGTGAAATGGAGGCCAGGACTTGAGGCGGGCATTTAAAGGCAAGACAAGTACTCTAGATTCCTTGGCTAGGGGACATTTACTCCAAGTGCCTTGGGAAATCCGAAGCCCCCCTCCTCCCGGGGGAGCATTTGCTGGGAATTGGGGAGAGGGCGGACAGGGGCAGAAGGCATCACCACCCAAGGCCAAAGGACGTGTGTGCGTGTCCTAGGCACAGACGGTTTACGGCGGAAGAGAATGACAATCCAGTGGCAAGCCGAGAGGACAAAGACGCCAGAAGGGCACGCGCTTTTACGTAACCGACCTCTGAGCAGAAGGGTCTCAGGAGGTTGGCTCACAGAGGTAGGCGCGCAGAAGGACGGCACTCCCGCTTTACGGCAACAAGCCTTAAGTTAGAGAAGTCCAGGGAGCTTTAAAGAGCAGGTTGGTTCGCTCCGTTGTCTTACCCCAGAGCGTGGCTGGGGCGAACCCGGGTAGCCCTTCCCGGCTCGGTCCTTGTCTCTTCTTTCCCGGATCGCTCGCTGGGTGACCTTGGGCGAGCCACTTGACCTCTCTGGGCCTCAGTTTCCCAGTCTGTGCGTCGGGCAATGCCATAATAGCATCGTGGGGTTCCCTAATCGTCCCCGAGGGCCAGAAGAGGGCGCCGGCCACTAGGAAAGCGCCCCAGGACTGCTCCCTCCCGTTGCGGGACCCACGCGTCTCAGCGAACCCGCGCGCAGCCCGGAGCAGCCCCACAAGGCGGCGCGCGCCACGGCGGTCGGGAGCCAGCGCGCAGGCGCGGAGGGGTGGGGCGGGGCGCGCGGGCTTGGGGCGGGGCGGGCGGCGGGCCATCTGCGCCCGGCGCCTGGCGACGCGGCTCAGAGTGCACTGGGCGGCTCGCGGGCTGCGGATCGCGACTGCAGCTCCGGCGCGGGCTGGCGGGGTTCGCTGGGGATTGCCTCGGGGTAGCCGAGCGCGCCGCACAGTCCGGCCTGAGGGCCTGCCTGAGCGCACCGGCTCGCGCCTGCTCCTCCTCGGCCCGCGCCTGGAGCGCGGGGGGCCGCCGGCGCTGGGCACTCGGCGGCCACCGGGGATCGGGGCTGAGGGGCTGGTTCCCGCCCCTCTGCCGCCGCCGCCCAGCCGCCTGCCCGGCTTGGCCGCCGCTGCGGCGTCTGGCCCCGGGGTCCGCGCTGCTGGGGGCGCGGGCGGGGTCGGGGGTTGCCGGGCGGCCGCTGCCCGCGCGCCTCGGGTCCGCGTTCCGGGCCCCGGGCGGCCGGCGAGCATGGAGGAGAAGTACCTGCCGGAGCTGATGGCGGAGAAGGACTCCCTGGACCCCTCCTTCACGCACGCTCTGCGGCTGGTGAACCAAGGTGAGGGCGCGCCGGCCGTTAACTGCCGGCCTCGGGCGGTTGGGGACCGGGGACCAGGGAGGCACTTGGTGGAAAGGCGGAGGGCTTGGGAGGCGCAACGGTGGCGGCTGACTGGAAATAGATATCGGGGAGACAGGAGAGTCCCGCCAGCAATCGAGGACCTTTAGGTGGGACCTGGGAGGATGTGGGACACCGAGGGGAAGACCGAGAGGTAAATCAGGACTTGGGAAGGAAGGAGAAGCTGGGCCGTCTGAATGAGACTTGACGGAAATCTTTGGGGACTCAGGGATACCCAGAGGAAACTTCTGGATGGGGGACAGTGGACATCTGGTAGCTTTGTTGGGGAGGAGGTTGAATTATCTCATTGGAGGGGAGAACGGAGTTACTCGGGCAGCTAGGGTGTTTGCTTTGTAAGGAACCAGAGAAAGAGCTGAAGGAAAAATGGAAGGACTGGAGGAGGTCAGAAGCAGAAAAGGTGAAGGGAACAGGTGCTTGGATTGTTAGTGAAGTTTGGGGACCTTGGTAGAGGTTTGGGATCAGACCCTAGCGCTCAGCGAAGAACCCAGCGATCCCTGGGGGAAGAGCCCAACCTTCTTCTGTTCCTCCTGTGTTCAGGGTCCAAGAGCCCCAGCCCGGCCATCTGCCTCTCCTCCCGGGGGTGGGCAGCTCACGCCAAGCCTTACCCGCTGGTCCTGGGATAAGTCAGCAGAGGAGGAGAGGTTGGGGAGACAGCCCTTTCCTTGTTGCCTGTTCTCTTTTTGGGAAGCTCTGGGTGGGTGACTCTCATTGGTGCTGCCTTGAGGTTCAGAACGTTGGTGAGAGAGTCTTTGTCATTTTCACGTTACTCCAGCCAGCCTGGGTTCTGATAGGTCCTGGGAAGCACTGGACTGGGGGACAGCAGGGTTTACAGAGGCACGCCTACCGCGAAGGGTGTTCCCCAGGCTGGCTTCTCCCCTGGCTTCCTCTGTCATCTGCTGAGATGGACGGTAAATTACATCTTTCTTCCTGGGAGCAGTCCTCTACTCCTCCTAGATCTGGAATATGTGTTTCAGATGAGGATGGGTTTGGGGACCACTGGTCTGTTTTGTCTCTGGGAAATGGCAGAAACATTATCTGGTCAGATCTCTTACCTTTTGCATGATTCACTTTGTGCAGTGACAGTCTGAGGTTCCCTAGATGAATCCTGTCTGCTGTTCGTAATGCTGGCCCGGCTCTTTTATTGTTGGAAGTGAAAGATAAGGCAGACATATTCTATTTGTATATAGATACCTATATTTTAAAAAAGCGACCTCCGGTATTAGCTTATTGCAAACAGTTCTTCAGAGTAGTGTGTGTGTGTTTGGCTGATGGTGGTGGTGGAGAGATACTTACCTTTTCCAGGAATTTAAGCATATTTGAATTGTTGAGCAGAAAATAGGTTTACAAAGCTCCCCCATTTCACATTAATTGCAGGCTTATTTTTTTTTTTAAATAAAATAAGCCTCTGAAAAAGTAATGGTCATGTGTTCCTAAATTATGGAAAAAGAATGTAAGTTTTATTCCCATGCTCCTCGGAGCAGTTCTGCAGTTAGATTGTACTCTCTGCTCTGTGCGATTTACATATATCTTTTGTTGCCTGCTGGGCTGTCATCTCTGTGAAAGAAATTTCTTTGTATGTTGGCTGAGATCAGTGGCATTAGAAATATTCTGGACTGTGGAGTTAAGTGCACTTTTTCTAATAAAGAAGCAAAAATGAAAGTTAGGTTGTATGCAGTTAAGGAAGCAGTTTAACTAAAAGTGTAGTGAGCTATTTTAAAAGTCGGAATTATTTTCTGTGCCATGTTGTCCGAGTATTGTGTTGCTAATATGTTGAAAATTCTTCTGGCTTCTGTGTTTTTACTGGGGCTGATGGCTTATACTTACTTGAAGCAGATATTTATTGAGGGAAATGTTGCCATTTAGTATATTTTAGATATCAAACTTGATTACTTTTCATCAAAAATGTAATTCTCGTAAGTACATTTCTCACATGGGAAGGAAGAAAGAGGTATTAGTCAGATGCTTGTATTAGCTCAGCCTAAAATGGTTTTCTCTTAAATCATAGGCTGATATCCAGAATGCAGAGCTCTATCATTTAAAATATTAATTATGCTCTGTTATGTAACTCCAGAATTACGAGTGCCTTTCCAAAACATAGTCTCTTAAGTGATTGTAAAGAAGCTCTGATTTTAAATCTGATAAACATCTTGTTATTGGCTACATGAAATCCTTTATTCTTACTCATCTTTGTGAATGTTTCTTTCTAAGGAAACTATTTTTTCAGAAGTTATTCTGAATCTCGGCACTGGCATTGGAGTCCTGCATAAAACTGTACAGTGATGACGGGTCAGCATTGCGTACCTTCATTTTATCACAGTCTGACACATAATGGGTTTGTTGTATGGTTAAAGCCTCCCAAGGCTAACAGTACCTTATGTTTACACAGTATTTGAAAGTTTCCAGGTCACTAGTTCCACCTCCATACTTGGCAGACATTGGTGTCTCCGTGAATCAAACACTTCTCACAAGATGATTTTAAACCCTGTAAAAATTGACTAATTCTGGTTGAGTTCAATGTAAGAGAAGTGTTTCCTTTAGGAAGACTTATGCTGCTTTTTTAAAAGTTTCTTTCTCCACTTGTCTTCTTTGAAGAGGCAGACATTCCTGGTAGAGTTATCTTACAGGATTTTAATGGTCAGACCAGGAGGCACTTTTGATTTAAAGCTCTCCTATGAGTAGTAATTAATTTAATAATTAACACATTATAGCAGTGAAACAGTTTATAAGTGAGGGATAGTCGGCTTTTAAAAATTCAGTATTCATAAACATTGATGAACTTCCTAGCTGAATTACTTTTTTTCTAATGATCTTTTAAGATTAAGTAAGAACTTGAGCTAAGATGCCATCAAGAGGTACACTCCAGTCTAATGGGAGTTGTCTTTTATACTTTTCCCAGACTTATGTTTCATGGAGGGCATTTAGTTACTGACTTTATTTTTATTTTCCCAGGATAACTCATTCTCTTCCCCTCAGACCCCCCCAAATATTGAATTTGAATTTGTTTTCTCTAACAAAAGTAATGGACATTGTTTACTTGATGTTAAAACTTAAAGAAAATAAGATTTGGTTCTCTAGACCTCCCCGCCCCCCTCACTGGTGCCTGTAGGGTGAATTGACATTGCAGTTTTTTGCCAGGGAGGTTAATTGGAGATGAAAGTAGTGTTGCATGTTTTATATTATATTTGCTAGAAGGGGATGTGCTGACTCTTCCTAAAGAACATATTCAGAAATGTCCTGTGCATTGTAATTTAATCCAACCCTCCAATAGATATTGGTTTGAATGGTTTTCAATCCAAGCCAAGGAACCATTAAATAAGATTATATAAGGGTTTATTTTTAATTATCTGGTATGATGTATGGATTGGTGGCTGGCTTACTGCCAAGTTACATTTAGTTGTTGGTTACAAGAGGAAGTGGAACAGAAGATTCAAGATTAATATGCTCACTTTGTGTCCATATTGATAAAGTTCTTTGTTGGTATGTATGTCAAAATATTTTTCATATTATATCAACTTTTCAAATATCAGGCTTATTAGCATTACGTAGCATCTATGTGGGACAGCCAGATGTATAAGGGAAGTTTGTTACTTTACCCTTCGCATGTCTTAAAAATCTACAAAACCTGATGGTTTAAAATTTCATTTTGGGGGACTACTTTTAGCAACATTTCTGATTTGCTTGAACATCATCAGGTATGTAGGATGACAGAGTTAGGAGGAGAGTTGCAGAATTGTATTTGGGGAAGTGTCTTTGTGCCTTAGTGCGTGAGTCTCTGTTTCATCCACAGGAGGGGGTGCTTATTTAATTTTTAGTTTTTAATTGTTTTTCTTTGGGTTATCAGTTTTTTGTTTTGTTTTCTTTGTTAGAAAATGGATGGGATGACTCACAGTTTCAGATAAACCATTTCCGCGTTCTGTGTGGTGTGTTGTGATTCAGTGATGCCCAGTGATGGCGGGTTAGAAGGTTTTGGTGTTTGGACGTTAGGGACCTGCTTATTGAGACTCTGCCATGCCAGTTATTTGTGCTGGTTCCTAGGGATAGGGAGGAAAGCCACGGTCCCTCCACCCCTGGCTGAGAAGCTCTTGCTCACATCTGGGTTAGTTTGAGAAAAAGTTTTAACTTCCTTAGATGGTTAGACTTTCTAATTCAGCCTGTGGACATTTTTGAGGCACTTCTGTGTGCTGGTTCATGTTTGTAATCTTAATGCTGGGAACAGCCCAGAGATGGAGAGGTTATTAGCTCAATTTTTCAGTTGTAGAAACCAAGACTCTTGACAACTAAAGTGACTTGCCTAAGGTGACATACTAATAAAATGTCAGAGCGAAGGTTCAAGCTTTGTTCTTTTCCAAGTCTGGTTTTTTGTTTTTTTTTTTCACCATGCCATACTGACCCTCAGAGGTATAAACAGTTATTGGCTAAACTGCGATAGTACAATTGGTAATGACAGAAGGAGAGTGAACACCTGACCCTGCTTATGTGCAGTTAGTTATTTTTCTCTTGCCTGCACTAAATTGAAAGATAAATTATGTGCCGTTTGTTTTCATACTTCATCCTTCAAATTTCTGCTCTAAGTAATCTCTTCTGACTTTCCCTTTCTCCCACACGAACTAGATTTTCTGGTCTCTCAGAGCCCTGGGTACCTACCTCTTTAGGGCATGATTCTCATCATGCTAGCTGGTTTGTATCTCTCTGTCCTCCCTGGTAGTGTGAGCTGCTTAGGAGGCAGGTCTGGGCTTTCATCAGTTTGTATCTTTAGCACCTCCCCTGATCCTTGGCATATGGCCCTGGGAACCCCAGTCTTCCTCGCAGTGCTGTGTTTCAGTCATCATATAGGTAGAAGAATTAGAAACCATATTTGAGATTCAGCAGTCACTAAAGAACTTTGCTCCTTATTAACACTTTAGAGCACCTGATTTGGGGTG